AATTCTTAATAGTTTTGAGAGCAAGTGTATCTACAGTCAAATGCTAATCCTCTTCTGTTTCTTCTAATGCAATTTTCAACCTCACGCAACAAACTGCACCCCGCCACGTTCACTGTCCAGTGACTTATGAAACAGTGTTGATATTTAGACAAGATAGATGGTCCATTCGAAGGATAAAAACCTTTTAAATTCACACAAACACATGCTACACATGCACACACGTCCCATACCGCAGCTGAAGCCCCTCAGCGATCCTCTGTCCTCACATGCTTGGTTTCCCCATCTAATTGCTGCCATTCATCAGTGAGTTTGTGTGTGTGCAAAAAAGAAAGAGAGTGTGTGTATTTCATGTACATTGTGTTTTTTGTCCCTTTCCTACGATTCTGTCGCTGCGCATTTATGAAAAACAGTGGTGTGAAAAATGCAAACGCGTATTCAGAGAGACAGGTAGACTGAAGGATCTAGAGATGGACACAAATGCGTACGCTCACTGCTGTGGGGCACACCAAAGCTGTCAGCATTAAACCTGCTGCCCTGCTCTCCGATTTGCCAAGTGGAATCAGTCTCACGTCCTACTGCAGGCTTCTTTTTTTATTGGGGATTAAACATAAAAGAGGAATTTTATTTAGTAAAAATGATACTCGTTCATTCTCTGTTCCACCTGGTTGTCATTGGGAGCTGGTGTCTAACTCCAGCAGCCTTAGAAGAAGAAGAAGAAGAAGAAGAAGAAGAAGAAGAAGAAGAAGAAGAAGAAGAAGAAGAAGAAGAAGAAGAAGAAGAAGAAGAAGAAGAAGAAGAAGAAGAAGAAGAAGAAGAAGAAGAAGAAGAAGAAGAAGAAGAAGAAGAAGAAGAAGAAGAAGAAGAAGAAGAAGAAGAAGAAGAAGAAGAAGAAGAAGAAGAAGAAGAAGAAGAAGAAGAAGAAGAAGAAGAAGAAGAAGAAGAAGAAGAAGAAGAAGAAGAAGAAGAAGAAGAAGAAGAAGAAGAAGAAGAAGAAGAAGAAGAAGGAAGAAGAAGAAGGAAGAAGAAGAAGGAAGAAGAAGAAGAAGAAGAAGAAGAAGAAGAAGAAGAAGAAGAAGAAGAAGAAGAAGAAGAAGGAAGAAGAAGAAGAAGAAGAAGAAGGAAGAAGAAGAAGAAGAAGAAGAAGAAGAAGAAGAAGAAGAAATCATTTCTATAGCGCCTCTCAAGATAAAAATCACGAGGCGCTTCACAAAAACAAAAAATAAAAAAATTGTAAAAATATAAAAAGCATTTCGAAAATGTTTAAAATATATTTAAAATGAGCAAGAATAAGCTATTGCGATTTAAAAGAAAAAATGTTAAGAAAGAGAGAAAGTGAATAGGAAAGAGGGAAATCAGTGGACCCTGAGGAAGGTGGAATAGGTGGCGAGAGCAGAATAAAGAGAGAGCGGTGATGAAGGTCATACAAAAGCCAGCTTGAACAAGTGAGTTTTCAGCTGTTTTTTAAAGGAGACCACTGAGTCCACTGACCTCAGGCTCAGGGGGAGAGAGTTCCAGAGTCTGGGGCCCACAGCAGCAAATGATCTGTCACCTTTGACCTTTAGCCTGGTGCTGCACAACCAGTAGGCTTTGGTCACTGGACCTCAGGGACCTGCTGGGGGTGTAGGGACTAAGAAGAACACCAATGTAAGATGGTGCTTGTCCATGTAAGGCCCTATAGACCAGAACCAGGATCTTGAAATGAACCCTGAAGTTGACTGGCAGCCAGTGAAGCTGGAGGAGAAGCGGGGTGATGTGGGTGTGTTTGGAGGACTTGGTCAGAAGCCGAGCACAGGCATTCTGAACCACCTGTAGACGGTTCAGGGAGGTTCTGCTCAGACACGTGAAAAGAGAGTTACAGTAGTCTAAGCATGAGGAGATGAAGGTGTGGAGAACTGTCTCAAGGTCAGAGCGGGATAGAATGGGACTCAGCTTAGCAACGTTCCTGAGATGGAAGAAGGAAGAGCGAACAAGAGAACTGCAGACAAGAGACGGGGAATATCCTGGACAGGAAGTCAATCTGTCCCGGAGAGACATGCCGGTTTAGGAAAAGAACTTGGGTACATACGACCTTGTGTTCATCAAGTGCATTGTGAAGCATAAGCATGCCAAGTCTGTCGGTGGCAGTAGTTCACCAAATCTTTGGCGCCTTTGCTGAAAAACATTCCTTGGAATAACAAGGTGGCGAGAAATAACCGTCCTTAACGTTGCACATGTGATGTCAGAGCAGCTTTGTGACAGGGAGTGATGATACAAAGTTTAAAACCCTGGTTATTTACGTCCACAAGCAAACAATTCAATTCAATTCAAAAATACTTTATTAATCCCAGAGGGAAATTAGAGACGTTGACAACGAAGGATTTCCAAATCTCCATTTCGGTTGAGGTTTTTGAAAGAATCGTTTTTGGTGCCGTTTATCTTCACTTTCATGTGGATAAGAGGCCAAACCGTAGGAAAGGATCTTTGTTTTGTGATATTCACGGCCACACATGGGCAGCAGTAGCTCAGGAGGTAGAGCGGGTCGCCCAATAATCGGCTAGTTGCAGGTTCGATCCTAGCTCTGACCAGAGAATGCTGCTGTCGTGTCCTTGGGCAAAACACCTAACCCGCCTTGCCTGCTGGTGGTGATCAGAGGGACTGGTGGCACCTGTGTCCAGCAGCCTCCCCTCCGTCAGTGCGCCCTAGGGGCAGCTGTGGCTACATTATAGCTCATCCCCACCAGCGTGTGAATGGGTGAAAGACTGACTGTGTTGTGAAGCGCCTTGGGGGGTTGTAGAACCCTCAGAAGGCACTACACAAATACAATTTCTGTTATCATTTACATGAGTACATTACCCCTACTTCACACTGGAAGCATCAGCAGAGCGACACGGTTTACTCGCTACTGTCGCTACGGTCCAGTACACACCGAGAGCATCTCACTAGGCAGCCCAAAAATAACCAATCAGAAAAAAGACGGAAATCCCGACTGTACCGCACAATGCTGTAGATTTCTAGTTGTAGTAAAAATAATAGCCTCTGGCAACGGCGCAAACATCTTTTATTTTTTTAGAAGAAATGTTTTTAGTGCTTCTACTTGTGGTTCTAAAGACATTTGAGTCATTTAGAACAGAGGAAAGAGCCGCAGCGAACTCCGCCGCTGTCTTCGTTGCTCATGAGGAACTGAGCGTCGCTGTAGTTTTTTTAGTCGTCGTCTTCTTCCGCTTATCCGGGTCCGGGTCGCGGGGGCAGAATCCCCACTAGGGAGCTCCAGACCGTCCTCTCCCAGGCCACCTCCACCAGCTCCTCCGGCAGGACCCCAAGGTGTTCCCGGACCAAATTGGAGATGTAACCTCTCCAACGTGTCCTGGGTCGACCCGGGGGCCTCCTGCCGGCAGGACATGCCCGAAACACCTCCCCAGGGAGGCGTCCAGGAGGCTTCCTGACCAGATGCCCAAACCACCTCAAATGACTCCTTTCGATCTGGAGGAGCAGCGGTTCTACTCCGAGTCCCTCCCGAATGTCCGAGCTCCTCACCCTATCTCTAAGGCTGAGCCCGGCCACCCTACGGAGGAAACTCATTTTGGCCGCTTGTATCCGCGATCTCATTCTTTCGGTCATTACCCAAAGCTCATGACCATAGGTGAGGATTGGGACGTAGATCGACCGGTAAATCGAGAGCCTGGCTTTCTGGCTCAGCTCCCTCTTCACCACGACAGATCGGCTCAGCGTCCGCATCACTGCAGACGCCGAACCAATCCGCCTGTCGATCTCCCGATCCCTCCTACCCTCACTCGTGAACAAGACCCCGAGATACTTAAACTCCTCCACTTGAGGTAGGACCTCTCCCCCGACCCGGCGTTGGCAAGCCACCCTTTTCCGGTCGAGTAGTTTTTGTAGCTGTAGTAAAAATGGAGTCTGACGACAGCGCAGACATCTTTCTTTAGAAGAAAGGCTTTTAGCGCTTCTACTTGTTGTAGTTTTAGAGACATGTTCAAATCATTTAGAACAAAGGAAAGAGCCGCGGCGAACTCCACTTCAATCACCATGTTTATGACAAACTCAGCATTATGGTGTGTGATGCACGCTACTCTGCGCTGATTGGCTCGGTTAGAATTCTCATGGGGTGGGGTTATTTGGACAGGAGAGTTCCCAGACTCTTTCTCTGTGCAGAATTAAATAGAGGAGGAGTCTGGCAGGCCAGGCTATAGATAGATATGAATTTGCATCACTGCAATAGTCTTATTTTGAAAATTACCGGGGGTTTAGACTGAAGCCGTGTGTGATTTCCTGTCTAGCTCTATGATAACTGTAGAAATGTCCAAGAAGCAGCAAAAACAGAACCTTATCCCATCTTCAGCAGCTCATTTTCATTGCTATATAGCCAAGTTCTGATAGGTCCTTTACCGGTTGTGGCCCAGAGTGTTTCCTGCATTGTGAAGGGGGGCTCACTCATTAGAAAGCATCCCAACATGGTGCAGTCATAATGAACGTGGTTACGAAGCAGGTTCAGTCAAAATAAAGCTGAAATTCACGGTCATTTCAATGTGGTAATATTCCAAAGTGACAACAAATCAGACGGATTTGATTTTTTTCAGAAGAAAATATGAGTTCTGATGAGCAAATGTGTGTGTGTGGATTCTTTAGGTCAGTGTGCGTTTGTCCATCGGAATATTTAATATGTGTGTGTGTGTGTGTGTGTGTGTGTGTGTGTGTGTGTGTGTGTGTGTGTGTGCGTGTGCGTGTGCGTGTGCGTGTGTGCGTGTGCGTGTGTTCACCATGATAATTTCTCAGTTTATGTTGTGGTGGTGATGAGGACGGTGATGGGGGTGGGAGCGGGGGTGGGGTAAACAGATAAGCAATCCACAGTCCAATCCTTCATCCTGCTCTGATTATAAATCAGCTGGAGCTCTCAGAAGCAATCAGCAAGAGCAATCTGCAGCCGGCACAGACACCTTATCAATCAGAGGGGACCATCACACTGTCACACACTCGCATAAAACCAAAGACACACACACACTCACCCGTCTGCATGATCCTGCAAACACAGCGGCCGCACACTCTTGGACACAAAGGCAGGTACAGTATGCTGTAGTTACACATCCTCGCCCGTAGCTTCTCTCCTCCTTTTGAATTTCCTTTTCTTTTTCTTCTTGGGAAACAGGAAGGGAGCTGCAACAAGAGTTTCCTGCAGCTAGCTGCCTGCCAGCCGTGAACCAGTGGAGAACAGAGACATATCACTCCTAATTACAGTCTGATATTAATAACAGGGAAAATATTAATCTTGGAGGTAAACTCTAAGCCGCTTACAGAAAAATTGCAAATAAATCAGATTACCTTATAGGAATATCCTCCAAATGGGGTGGGGGGCTGGGGGGTAATGAGAAACCTGGGTCCAACCCCTCTCCTCTGTCATTTCCCTTTCTTCAGTCTCCTGCTGGATTTGAAAAAAAAAGGTGTGATGGTGTGTACATGTCTGGGTGTGTGTTTGTGAGTATGTTTGTGTATTTATCAAGCTGCACTTCAAACCCCACCGCCCTCATCGCCTCTCTTCTTCCCTTTCTCTCTCTCCCTCTCTCTACCATTGTATTCATTTTTCACCTCCAATTTTATTTTTTCATCAGTTGAGGGGGCGCCGCTGAGCAGATTCAATTAGGCTCTGTGATTGGGCCGCTGGCATTCAGCGGGGTCACGCAAAGGTTAAAGAATTCAGTGGCGCAAACATGATTATGGCTCTGTAGCATTTGATCAGAAGTCGGGTTTGTCAAGGCAAAGCGGAGCTCCTCGGTTACGCGGACTGGGAGGACCAGCGTGGTCAGTGATGTGGGAGCTTTTCCCAGTGTTGGTGTAATGGATTCTTCCACTTAATGATAATTGCATGCTGAAGAGGCTTTAAGTGAAACGCAGACACAAACAGTGACCAGAGAATGAAAGATCGCTCATTCCTAAATTTGATTTAGGGTCAGGGTTGGGATTAGGATTAAAAGTAGTTTGATACATAAAATGTTTAAATACATTTTCTAAAGATATGAAACACCAACAATAATCCATACAGTACCAATCGGATGTTTTTGGATGAGTAGCTGAATCTAGAATTTGGATTAGTTCTGAATAAATATGCTTTAATGAAGAGGACCCGGCACATATCGGTATCTGCAACCAGGATTTAGACTATCTGTTGTTTCCTGGTAAAACAGCCAAACTCAAACAGCCCAAGTTTTCAGTTAAAATATCTAAATTACCTTGAAATATACCCTTGCAAGGGTGATGGAGGGAGCATGGGAGTTTGCCCAACCAATCCACATGTGTTTTGTGGATTTTGAGAAGGCTGATGACAGTGTCACCAGGGACACCCTGTGGGGGACGCTCCAGGAGTATGGGGTGGGTGGCCTTTTGTTAAGGGCCATTCAGTCCCTTTACCAGAGGAGTGTGAGTTTGGTCCACATAGCCGGTAGTAAGTCGGACCTGTTCCCGGTGAGGGTTGGACTCCGCCAGGGCTGCCCTTTGTCACCGGTTCTGTTCATTACCTTAATGGACAGAATTTCTAGGCGCAGCCGTGGTGTGGAGTGTGTCGAGTTTGGTGGCAGGAGAACCTCGTCTCTGCTTTTTGCGGATGATGTGGTCCTCCTAGCTTCATCCAGCTCTGACCTTCAGCTCTTGCTGGGTAGGTTCGCGGCTGAATGTGAAGCGGCTGGGATGAGGATCAGCACCTCCAAATCTGAGACCATGGTTCTCGACCCGAAAAGGGTGGCTTGCCACCTCCGGGTCGGGAGAGAGGTCCTACCTCAAGTGGAGGAGTTTAACTATCTCTGGGTCTTGTTCACGAGTGAGGGTAGGAGGGATCGGGAGATCGACAGGTGGATTGGTTCGGCGTCTGCAGTGATATGGACGCTGAGCCGATCTGTCGTGGTGAAGAGGGAGCTGAGCCAGAAAGCCAGGCTCTCAATTTACCGGTCGATCTACGTCCCAATCCTCACCTATGGTCATGAGCTTTGGGTAATGACCGAAAGAACGAGATCGCGGATACAAGCGGCCAAAATGAATTTCCTCCGTAGGGTGGCCGGGCTCAGCCTTAGAGATAGGGTGAGGAGCTCGGACATAAGGGAGGGACTCGGAGTAGAACCGCTGCTCCTCCAGATCGAAAGGAGTCATTTGAGGTGGTTTGGGCATCTGGTCAGGATGCCTCCTGGACGCCTCCCCGGGGAGGTGTTTCGGGCATGCCCTGCCGTTAGGAGGCCCCCGGGTCGACCCAGGACACGTTGGAGAGGTTACATCTCCAATCTGGTCCGGGAACACCTTGGGGTCCTGCCAGAGGTACTGGTGGAGGTGGCCGGGGAGAGGACGGTCTGGAGCTCCCTAGTTCGGATGCTGCCCCCGCGACCCGGACCCGGATAAGCGGAGGAAGACGATGACGAAGACCTTGAAATATTTCACTGGATTATTTTGACTTTGAAGATGTTTCACAGTCAATTTTTAAAAAAAGATTTCATGAGAAAAAAAAGTCTATTTTTGTCCCTGATTGTTACAACACAACTTAAACATAACACATCTCATGATATAAAGAAGGTCGTTACTCTAAGAAATAAAAATAAAAATGGCCTATATTTCATATAGGGCCTTCTAGAGTCCTGGAACCCCCCAAGGTGCTTTATAACACAATCAGTCATTCACCCATTCACACACACATTCACACACACATTCACACACTGGTGGTGAGGAGCTAAAATGTAGCCATACCTCCCCTGGGGTGCACTGACAGAGGTGAGGCTGCTGAGCATCGGCACCACCAGCAGGCTATGTGGGTTAAGTGTCTTACCCAAGGACACAACAGCAGCCAGTATTGAACCTACAACCTTCCCATTACTCAACAACCTGATGTATCTTCTGAGCTACAGCAGTCCCTCCTCCTCATTAAAAGTAATTTAAAAAGGTAATTTTACTGTAGACAACGGAAAAACTAATTAAATATCTTTACTAATTAATGTAAATTGCATAATATTTTCTCTAAATTTATATATTTGTAGGAAACTATGACGAAATTCAACAACAGAAACAATTTAGTCAGTCAAGATGCTCTTTTGGTAATTTATTGGCACGGTCGAGTCAGAACCCAAACGAAAGTACTGTTTACTGAACAGCCGATGACGGCTGAGGTCATTCAGAAAACATGCAAATTATATTTCTAAATGCTTTTATGTGTGTTTTGTTTGGTGTGGGTATGTGCTGGAGAAGTCCTTTTTACTTTTACTTTATTTTGATTCTATTTTTAAAAAATAAGGTAATAAATGTCCATCTTTACTACATTATTCACTAAAGGACATTTTAGTCCCTGTTATAAAGTTTGTGAATCTGTTTGTTAGGCATCACTAATTATGCATATGTTTGTGTGTGTGCGTGCGTACACACATGAGTAAGTGTGTGTGTGTGTGTGTGTGTGTCAGTACGCATGTGTGTGTGTCTATATGTGTGTGAGTGTGCATGCATATGTGTGTGAGTGTATGTGCATGCATTTTTGTGTGCGTGCGGGTGTGTGCACATGTGTGTGTGTGAGTGTGTGCGTGTGTGTGTGCGTGTATATGTGTGTGAGTGCGTGCGTGTGTGTGTGTGTGTGTGTGTGTGTGTGTGTGTGTGTGTGTGTGTGTGCGCGCGCGCGCGTGTGTATACAGGTGGAATACAACGCTGCACTACTGAACATTAAAAAAGGACAGATATATTCGCAAAATAATTCCATCTCGTTTCATTTTGCTCTTTCACACACACACACACACACACACACACACACACACACACACACACACACACACACACACACACACACACACACACACACACACACACACACACACACACACACACACACACACACACACACACACACACACACACACACACACACACACACACACACACACACACACACACACACAGGGAGTAGCAGTAATAAAGCCCACCCTTGCAGTGAAATTAAAGCTAGTCAATGATACTGCGTGCTGAGTACACATTAAATCATTTTTATACCCGGATGAAACAACCAACACACCACCGGCTTGGCACATGTATCCAGTATCACCCAGAGGCCGAGAGAACACAAACAAAAACAGCAACTAAATCAAATATCATATTGGATGTGTCAGATTCATGTCGCAACAAGAGATTAATACTAAATATAGGAAATATGGTACAATAAGAGCAAAAGATCTTTTTATATTCAGAATGACCGAGCGCAGAGCACATTATGAGATATTGGATTGATAACAGGCTGTGATGCCGTTGTTCGTGGAGTATAATAGAACAATGACGCTGCTCCTGGGTAAGCAGAGATTGCAATATGATTCTAATGTGTTTTATAGACACCAGCCCTTCACTGGAAGGAAATTGTGTCAATAAATAAGCAGACTCGCATTTTAAGACAAAGGGAATCAAAGTAAATGAAAAAGAGAACAATCACACTTGTACTGCAAGGTTTTGCTAGTATAAAATATCTTATTTAGCTCGGTCGTGTGCCACTGCTGACAGATATTTTTTTAGGAGCACCAGCCAATCACTTTGTTTCTTCGCAACAGGGGACGCTGTCGGCGTAGAGTTCAAACCACACAGATCTGTTTGGTACCATGTTTTTGATCGTCTGTCTCTGAGTCTCTAAAACGTGTCGTACACTTCCTGGATTCTCGTAAATGCCTCTGTCCCACCTAACCCCCTGCTGAGCAATCCCTATTCTATACTCCAGATGGATATTTACATGCCCCACACCATGGAGAGCAAACAAGCTCATTTAAAAGTTCACATGCTAATGTGTGACATTTAATCCAAACTTTACACGGGGAAAAGGACACGCTACAATACATTTTGATTCATTTCTTGTCTGTGAATCTCATCATCTTCTGACTGCCTTATTTATGAGTTAAAAAGGCGGGATACCTTAGAGGAGAACGAGGGGGCGGAAGAGGAAAGAGCGACTTTACGCTTGTAAAACCGGGCCGGATAGTGACGTGCACCTCCTTACTCTTCTTTGTTGTTTTATTTTCATTCACATTCAGGTTCCATACACAAAATATTGCTAAAGTAGCTTAATTCATGCATATGACATTTATTATCTACAGTATTTTTAATCAATCAAGTTTAGGGTTCAACAAGCTTGTAACATCCTGGGTTTTAGCGGTTTTATCTGCAGCTCATTAGCACCGTTTATTCCATGCGTCGGTCCAAGCACATAGCTAAGATGTTTAGGAGTTTTCTGGTAAATGCACTTGGAAAGAGGTGTGTGCACTTCCTCAGAGACAATAGTCTAGAGATACAA